CCCGGCTAATTTTTTGTATTTTTAGTAGAGACGGGGTTTCACCGTGTTAGCCAGGATGGTCTCGATCTCCTGACCTCGTGATCCACCCACCTCGGCCCCCCAAAGTGCTGGGATTACAGGCGTGAACCACCACGCCCGGCCATAATTAATTTTAATAGCTTTTTTCTTTTGAAAATTAGTTTTATTAATTGGTTCTTACTAGGTCAATCTTCGTTTTATCAGCTTTCCTGTGGGAACAATAAAGTTAATGATGTGGGGAGCATAGGTTAAGGCCAGTTGTTACTTTGGCACAAACACCTGTGAGTAGTTTTCTAAGACTGGTTTTGAACTGGTCATGCTGAAGGCCAGCCTACTTCCTGCTGTAATTGTTCTGCCTTCTGATGTTATTCTCGAAAAATGGCCAGATTCCAGGCATGACTAATGGTTGGTGTAAACTAGGCATGAGAAGATTTTATTACACCTCAATTGTATGATTCTATCCTGATGGTATAGGTTTGCAGTGAGTCTTAAACCACATAGCACTGACTCATAGCGAGTGCTCAACAAATGTTAGCTTTCGTTATTAATTATAGACTGTTCAGACAAGGTTATGAAGAATTGTCTTAGTTTGCACTGACTAAACCTAATCTCTCAAGTTAATAATGTTGCTAAACAACCTCCATAGCAGAGATACTCTGCTCCTACTATTTCATATGCTTTAGATACCTGGACAACACTGTTTAGACTACCTCATTGAAAGACCCCGAAGAAGTGACATGATGATGTTACAGTAATACAAACAGAATCTTTCTTTCTTTTTTTTTATTTTTTTATTTTTTTGCGATGGAGTCTCGCTCTGTTACCCAGGCTAGAGTGCGATGGCACAATCTCGGGTCGCTGCAACCTCTGTCTCCCAGGTTCATGCAGTTCTTCTGCCTCAGCCTCCCAAGTAGCTGGGATTACAGGCACACACCACCACGACCTGGCTGATCTTTGTATTTTTAATAGAAATGGGGTTTCACTAGGCCAGGCTGGTCTCAAACTCCTGACTTCAAGTGATCTACCTGCCTTGGCCTCTCAAAGTGCTGTGATTACAGGCGTGAGCCACTGCGCCAGGCCCAGAATCTTTTCAAATAAGTTTTAGATATTGGATATTATTGTAAAGTTTCAAAATTGGGAAGTGGCTTTATTATTTTATCCACTTACCCTGCATCAAGCCACATCGAGATTGAGCAGAGAAGGATTGAGGACACTTAGCGTATATATCTTTGGACTACATATAAAAGTTGCTTTTCTTAGGCCAGGTGCGGTGGCTCACACCTGTAATCCCAGCAATTTGGGAGGCTGAGGCAGGTGGATCACGAGGTCAGGAGATCAAGATCATCCTGGCCAACATGGTAAAACCCTGTCTAAAAATTAGCTGGGCGTGGTGGCATGCGCCTGTGGTCCCAGCTGC